ATAACAAATGTAAAAATCCTAGTATTAATCATCTAAAATATCAGTTCCATATATTAGCTCATCATTAAGGATAAATGCTGGGTTAATACAGGCATTTCAACATGATGACTGGGATAAATAGTGACTTAACAAAAATGAAAGCAAGCAACAAGGGTTTTTGTGATGGTTTCAAAACCATTTGGGGGTATTGATGTTTCACTAAACCTCAGGGGTTCCATAAAAGTTGATCCTATGCTTTTAACATAAGGTGATCTCATCAAATCTTCAAACTAGAAGGAAAACTATACAAGAGAAAGAGCACTCCACCTTCTGACTCGCCATAAAATAAATGCGGTCACCTTTCTTCATAGTTCCATCAATGACTCGGAAATATACAATCACTCCACGATATGGATCATAGTAACTGCAGAAGTATACAAAACAGTAATATGTAAATGATGGCAACAAGTCATTCTCAAATAGAATATGAAAAATCAGAGGAAAAACAGTTCATATAACCAACCAACTAGTAGAGGGCTGAGGTTAATAAAAATTCAGCTAAGTTTCAAAGGTTGTGATGAGGACTAAGTCAGATCTATACCTATCAAATATTAAAGCCCTTAACGGACATTCAGCTGTGTCCAAAGGTGGCGGAATCCTTTTAACAATTGCATTCAGAATTTCATTTATACCAATCCCCTCCTGCAAAAGAACGTTAGACCACATAAATATGAAATATGTAAAACTACTGAAGCTCTTTTCTACCAACTTTCATTAGTACATAAACGAGGCATGAGTCAACATTAGAGCCAATGCCATGAACTAACCTTTGCAGAGCAAAGAATTGCATCACTACAATCTAGCCCAACAACCTACACAGAACAAGCATGATTTTCATAATAATTTCAAACCTAAACAGAAAAAACTGGCACCAATCTGGAGATAAAAAAAAGGTTGTCTCCTCCAAATCATATCATTTGTGTTCACTTTTCTAAGAGCGACAATTCAAGCTAACACCTTTACCATGGTTGTGGCTTTAGATTCCAAATAACTCTTGATGCCTCAAAATGAGGGATCAGAGACTATTCAATGACATATATGTATAGATAGCTGCTAGAGAAATTAATGTGTTTAGAATGTGGAATAACAATCAGACAAACTGGTAACATCCTTTTTAAAATTTCAAAGAACCACTAATCACAAAAGTTATGCATATAAGAAGGGACCTATCAATAATTGCACTCAGATTCTAACATGACCCCTCACCTTGATGGTTTAAAATACAAGCTTGTCACATGGAACAAAACATATGTCCATCTCGCTTCTGTTTTAATTTTATTTTAGAGGAAACAAAGAGAATATCATTGGTTAAAAAGATTAATTACAAAAGAGTGTCGTCCACTAAAAGGATCTATATGATATGACATTGACTCACTAAGAAAATAAAAAAAAAAAAATGCTAAAACAACTAAAAGTTCTACTCCAATAGCTTTAAATCAACCCAAAACCCCTTCCTAATTTTAGTGAAAACAGAAAAAAGAAGTGGAAACCTTTTAACAATTCAAGCATAAGATCTCTTTGTGCAATACGCCCTTATATTTTGCTGAATAGTCAATAATCCTAAAAGCTTGAAATCATAAAAGAGCCTGAGAATAGTATTTTGACAACAAAACAATTATAACAGCTTATTATGGTCAAAGCCAAAATCTTGAAGTTAAGATAGGAAATAACTACTAGCTCTAGCAATACCAACCACTTCTAAAAACAGCATAGACTAATGTAAACTACACACCCATTAAGCAAATGAAACCCTGCTTTTTGTGCACCAACCTCTTCAATCTCCTGAACAACTCGATCTGGTTCAGCACCAGGAAGATCTATCTTGTTCAAAACCTGTAACAGATGACGAATTCATACATAGTGAAAAGTATAAACTGAACAAACAAAAAAAAAAGTGAGAAAACATTGGTTCAGAAAACAGTTTGCATTAAATTAATTAAAAAGAACATATACATTGCTCCCTGTTGCCAGCATCTTCATGAGTTTCCTTAATGGTTTCTAAAGCTAAAAGTTTGATTCAGAATTCATTCGGTGTTATTATTACAGTGTTTGAGGAGCTAAAAAGAAAGATACCAAACTTGTAGGTAATATACAAGGCAGAAAAGACAAAATATCAACACTTACAGGAATAATTTCAAGATTGTTTTCCAAAGCCAAATAAACGTTAGCCAGGGTCTGTGCTTCCACTCCCTACAATATAATAGACAGTTTTAACACACTTAATATTGCCACTGAAGTGTTCAGTAGTAGTAACGGCAACACTTGTGGGACCAGTAGGGAAGCTTATATGCATTTGGCAACAAATAGCTTCTCTCCATAATACGAATAGTACAATGACAAGCACATCATCAATAATTTCATTTTTTAAACAGTAATATTTTAATTAGAAACATGTGCTAAGTACAAAGTAGATAAAAGACCACCTGCGAAGCATCTACAACGAGGAGAGCACCCTCACATGCAGCAAGCGAACGAGAAACCTATATATGAAATCACAAAAACTAGTTAAGGTATAATTAGAGGATACCCTAATATTCACTCACCGGCAAAAATTTAAGAAAAAGGAAGAAGAAGAAGAAGACAGCCAGAGAAAGCATAACTAGTCTAGCTTGTCCATGAGAAAAGATGCACATAAGGCAACAAAACTTTTTGAAAGGAAATAGAGGAACTAGTTTCCTCAAAGAGGAAACAAATTGTTGATGAACTAGTTTTCTCAAGGAGGAAAAAAAAAATTATTCTCTGCATGCAATTTAGTTTCTCACTTCCTCATGATAAAGCTCAGAGATGTAAAGATTTCCAAGACTTTACAGAACTGAGAGTCAATAAGAAAATGTCTCTCACCTTTCAAAAGCCACTCCATGCCTTTTCTAATTTGATATCGCTGCTAATATTTCTAGTAAGGGTTAAAAATCAAAAAAATATTTAAGGGATTACCAAAAAGCAAACCAGAGGAAAGAAGTGTGCTGTGTTTGAAAGAATGGGGATGGAAGGTACTTCTCTTTTGATGCATAGAAAAAGAAGTGATGTCAAAATCCTTGTAATTTGTAGACATGGACACAAATATCATGTTACCACACACGCATGAGTTATCAATTGACAACTCTATAAAAGTTTGTGCTAAAAAATGTATCCATTAATGTATTATATATGAACAGCTGTCTGTTTTCTTATTGAAGAATTAAAGAAACTAAGAGTGTACCAAGCATTCAAATATGTGAAAGTTTCATAATAAATTTCACATAGCACCCTCAAACATTACAAATATTTAAGACAAACAGTTTTTTGTAACTGTTAGTCAATTGTGAAGGAAATATGGAATGGACATTTTCTCAAGTGCCCTACACACCAAATTTAAAATAGAAGTGCCCAATAAACTATGGCATCTCTGCTACTCTAGATTCAGGAAAGACTGAATTGAGTCAACCATATGGATTAAACTTTCGGTCTGTTAACAGTTGTGTGTAAATTTAGTGTTGGAAGATTTTGAAGTCTAAACATGCATGTGAGTATTGTGAGTCTAACCATGACTCCTAAAATTGCTATAGCACACGACGTCAAGTATGGAATTTAAACACATCAACTCTCTCATGCAGGAATTTATGGGCCTTGTGAAGCTTAGGGATTATGTATCTAAGGAGATTAGAGCATGAATCTCATATATTAAAACCTGCTTAAGAAATCCAAAGTGTTTAGAAAATAAAATTCATAAAATAAGAACTTAGAAAATGAACATCTAAACATTTTGTAGTTCTGAGACTATAAGACCCAGTTTTTGTTTTATGTCTTTTATAAGGATACTGGGAAAATTTTCATGAGCAAAAATTCTTATGGATGCATCCTACAATGTGGCAGGTATAGTAGCCAAAATATAAACATTTGTAGAATTGGAATCAACCACTGCATCTTCAATCAGTTCTGAATTTTCTCTTTTCCTAACTGAAGCAGAGCATCGATGCTTGCCTCACTCACATTTTTTTTTTTTTTTTTTTTGTAAGATCAAGAAACTCGAAAATTTTCAACTTCATTCAGCTAGCCCAAAACTTCCTTTAAATAACTGTAATTCAAATTACTGCACCAAAAGGGTCCTCAACTTGATTGTCTTAGGTTCAATAAGAAAACAGTAAGCTTGAGAAGGAACTAAACATTGAAGATTATATGGGAGATTAGGGCAGAAAACAGTGAACTCCAAGAAAAAAAGGGAAAAGGCAAACAACTCGCCATAAGACTTTCCAAAACAAAGCAACATTACAAGTTTCAATACAGAGCTAAAACAAAATGCTATGTTATCTAAGAAGTCTTTAAACCTTGGCGTTGAAACACTATTTTAGCTTTCAGATAGCCTATCCCCAAACTCATTAATGCTTTATTTAGATACTTCACAACTCCCCACTAAGTGCCCCTTTGTTTTTTGAATAATGCTAGCCTTACTCACTCCCCCTACTCACTTCGCTTACTCAGCTTTGTTAAAAAAGTGAAAAAGTGGATAAGGCTAACATTTTAACAAAGGTGAGTAAGAGAAGTGAGTGGGGGGAGTGAGTAAGGCTAGCATTACTCTTGTTTTTTGTTTGCAAGGAAGGCCATAATTACCCTAGAAAGCTTCTTCAATCCAACCACACGCCCTAATTAAAGCTCAATTAAAGAAAGGTAACAGCTTGGATCATTATCAGCTAGAAAACCAAAACTTTCAAATTCAAACACTTAAAGGCCAAATAAACTCATATATACAGAAGATATGCCTACCAAGAAGCAGTTTTCAGTTTAACTTTAGACCTAGAAATTTGCCCAAGAAAAGACAAGCTTTGAAAATTTTCAAGTCGACACACACTAATTCGAATATGCATTCTGTTTAATCACCAGCAATTGTCTATAAAGAAATAAATTGAACAACAAATCCCAAAAAAGTCCATAAATTATCAAACTTTAGGGGCCAGTTAAATGTAGCATTCATGTACCTCATAAGAGAAGTCCACGTGGCCCGGAGTATCAATTAAATTCAGGCAATATGGTTCATTTTCATATACATAACGCATTCGAGCTGCCTGCCACAAAAATCATAGGAAAATAAATTGAACCATCAAACACTGGGAAAAAAATAATCAAATTGAAAAAAAAGGGAGACTTTAAATCTTTTAAAATCAAATGAAAAGATAACAAACGCACTCTCGAATTCTGAAAGCACAAAATTTAAACTTCTTATTTTCGTTTTTGAAAAGTACAAAGAAAATAAAATGTAAAGTACCTGTAGTTTGATAGTGATGCCTCTTTCTCTTTCCAAATCCATGTTATCTAAAAACTGGTCCTTCATTTCTCGTTTCTGAACCGTACCAGTCATCTGAAGCAATTTGTCAGCTAAAGTTGATTTCCCGTGATCAATATGAGCAATAATGGAGAAATTCCTTATGTTCGACGCAGGAACCTGCACTCAATTGTGTTAGTTTTAACTCTTCTCTTATAACCAAACAACCTAAACATAGAAAACACAAGAAAAAACCTTTAAGAGACGGTCTTGTCCAACTTTGGTGGCCAATTCCAACTCCGTCTGGGTCTGAGAAAACACTCGGGAGCGGCGTCGAATGGTGACGGCATTTTTAGAGAGAAAGAGAGAAAAATTAAAGAGACGAGGAGATTTTGAAGGAGAAAGTAGGAAGTGAGAGGTTGGAATTGGGAAGTTTTGTTTTATGGATAAGAGAAGTGTTAGAGAAGAAGAAGAGAGGTCCGTAGCCAACATTTTGAGGGAGTGTGGAAGTGTGCGTTTGGGAATGGTTTAAATTGTTATGCGCCCTCTTCTTTCGTTAGCCACAAGCGCCCAATTCAAATGTTTAGGGGTAATATTGGTAAACACTTTGAGTGCATTTCGTTCAAGAAATATTATATTAATTAAAAGATAGATTACTTCGAACATTACTAAAAATATTTAGAGAATATATTTGGTAAGGAATAATAAATTGGTAGGTATGTTATATAAATTACTAAATTGCCTATTTTTTAAATATTAATATAATATTATTTTTTGAATCATTTCTTTTAACCCCTTACATTTCAGACTTAACTAAAACAACCCAACAACCATAATATAATATTATTTTTTGAATCATTTCTTTAACCTCCTACATTTCAGATTTAACTAAATCACCACAATAACCAAAAAAGTTTAAAACTTAACAAAAAGATATGGTCGTGAAACGGCCATAGATCTGGTCATGAAAAGGCCAGATCTTTGGCTGTAAAAAGGCGACCATTTCACGACTAGATCTTTGGCTGTTTTTGACCATGGATTACAAATTCAAAAACGGCCTTATCGGCGCACGAATGGCCATGCGTCGTTCTGGTGATTGCCGACGACGACCGACAGTCTCTTGGGTGGCTGGGGTGGTAGTAGCTATGGTCTTGGTAATTTGGTTGAAGTACAAGGGTAATTCTATCTTAAATATAAGGCTAAAGTTGTCCATAAATTTATTGTAAATTGTTTTGAAAACAAGGACATTATTCCTAAAATTTTATTAATAAGTAGTAAAATTGTAACAAAATTAAGATTACCAAGTAATCTTAAAATACTTAAGAAAATAGAAATAATCAGTTTACCTCCTATATAACCAACGGTAATTATTGTTGGTTTTAAAAGATTACCAGAATTTTGTATTTGTTACAAACAGAGAACTCATTGTAATTTTCTTATATTGTATTGACAAATTATACATCAATATCTAGGAAAATAAAAAACTAATCTAGGAAATGAATAATCTAACTTCCTATTTTACATAGTTGTTCCCAATATATATTGATTACAATCCTAATATCTTATTATAGATTTATACACTTAATCATGTAATATCTGTAAGATTTTGCATGATTATTTACAACACTCCCCCTCAAGATGGAGCATAGATGTTAATCATGCCCAGTTTGTTACAAATATAATCAATCCAAACCCCATTCAAAGCTTTAGTGAAAACATCTCCTAGTTGCTCTTCAGTCTTCATATATTCTATAGAGATTAAACCTTGCTGTATTTTCTCACGAATGAAATGACAGTCAATTTCAATGTGCTTAGTTCATTCATGAAATACGGGATTAGAAGCAATATGAAGAGCGACTTGGTTATCACACCACAATTTCGTTGGCAAAGAGGCCATAAGACCACATTCAGTCAAAAACTGATATTTTATACTACTTCACACACAGACTGGGCCATAGCCCTATATTTCGATTCTACACTAGATCGGGACACAACAGTTTGCTTATTACTTTTCCATGAGACTAAATTTCCACCAACAAAAACACAGTAGCCTGTAGTGGATCTCCTATCTATCTTGGAACCTACACAATTTGCATCAGAGAAGCACTCAATATTATTATGTCCATGATTTTCGTACAAAGTATCATGTGTTGGAGCTGCTTTCAGATAACACAGAATATGTTCTAACGCTGCCCAATGGTCAACCGTAGGAGAAGACATGAATTGACTTACTACACTGACAGAGTATGCAATATTAGGACGAGTGACTGTTAGATAGTTCAACTTTCCAATCAGTCTTTATACCTCTCAGGATCTTCAAACAGTTCACCATCTTTAATAAGTTGTGAATTAGGAAACACTGGCGTACTGCATGGCTTAGCACTCAATTTTCCTGTCTCAATTAATAAGTCAAGTACATATTTTCTTTGAGAGAGGAAGATGCCTTTCTTACTCCTTGTTACCTCAACCCCTAAGAAATATTTCAACACTCCTAAATATTTTATACGAAATTGAGTGTGAAGAAATGAATTAAGTAATGAAATCCCTGTAGTGTCACTCCCAATGATGATAATGTTGTCAACATATACGACAAGAAGAATAATGCCAACTGCCGATTGTTTATAAAAGATTGAGTGATCAGACTTGCTCTTTGTCATTCCGAACTTTTCAACTACTTGACTGAACTTTCCAAACCAAGTGTGTGGACTCTGTTTCAAACCATATAACGATTTGCGAAGATGACAAACTTTCACATACTCCCCCTGAGCAACAAACCCAGGCGGTTGCTCCATATAGACTTCTTCTTGAAGGTCACCATGTAAAAAGACATTTTTTTATGTCCAACTGATATAATGGCCAAGAATGAGTAGCCGCCACAAAGATAAATAAGCGAACAGAAGTCAATTTAGCCACAGGGGAAAAAGTGTCAGAATAATCCATTCCATAAGTTTGAGCATAGCCTTTAGCTACAAAACAAGCTTTAAGCTTAGCCACTGACCCATCAGGATTTACTTTAACAGCAAACACCCATTTGCATCCAATATGTCTCTTTCCAGTAGGTAAGTCAACCAAGGTCCAAGTACCATTAACATCTAAAGCATTCATCTCTTCCATCATAACATCACGCCAGCCATGATGAGATAAGGCTTCATGAATAGTTGCAGGAAGGGAGACAGAGTCTAGTGATGCCACAAAAGAACAAGAAGAAGATGATAGGTGATCATAAGAAACAAATGAAGAGATAGGATAAGTACACTGATGTTTACCTTTCCGAAAAGTAATAGGAAGATCAAGATCACTCAAGGCTGGATCCAATGACAAAGAGTCTTGGGCAGGACATTAATTCTGAGGGTCTTCTTGACGAGGAACACAGGTATCAGGATCATTGGAGACTAGATCTGATGACGAAGGGACTGGTACAGAAGGTTCCTATCAACGAGAATAGATAATGCGAATCAAAGGTAGTAGACGGACAAAAGGTGGTGCCGGAGGAGGAATAGTAGGTGGTGAAGCCTCAGGTGTAGGATTAGCTGGTAGGGATGTGGCAGTATAGATTAGTAAGTCATCATCCTCCCTCTGACTTGTATAGGTAGACGAAGTAGGAAAAAAAAATGGCGTTTTCTAAGAAAGTAACATCAGGTGACACCAGATATCTATTAAGACTAGGACAATAGCATCGATATCCCTTCTGAAGGCGAGAGTAACCTAGAAAAACACATTTAAGAGATTTGGGATCTAACTTGGTTACTTGAGGTTGAACATCACAAACAAAACCAGTGCTACCAAATATCTTTGGTGCAATAGGAAACAAAGGCTTAGACGGGAAGAGAACACTATAAGGAGTTGAACCATTCAGAATAGATAAAGGCATGCGGTTAATTAGAAAATAGGTCGTGGAAACTGCATCAGCCCAAAACGATTTAGAAACTTGCATTTGAAATAATAAGGCTCGGGCGGTTTCAAGAAGGTGCCTATTTTTCCTCTCGGCTACTCCATTTTGGGACGGTGTGTCAACACAAGAGGATTGATGAAGAATGTCATGTTGACTTATATAAGACTAAAAAAAACTCAAAAAATATTCTTTGGCATTATCGCTTCTTAATGTCTGGACATAAGTATTAAATTGAGTTTTAACTTTAGCACAAAAGGCACAAAAATGAGAGAACAACTCAGAACGATTTTGCATTAAATAAAGCCAAGTTACATAAGAGTTGTCATCAACAAAGGTAACAAAATATTTAAATCCAGGTTTAGACATAATAAAACACGGACCCCAAACATCTTAATGAACTAATTCAAAAGGGACACTAGCCCGTTTATTGACTCTTGAACTTGAAGGAAGACGGTGGTGTTTGGCAAATTGACATGACTCACAATCTATCGAAGATAATTTATTAAACTGAGGACATAGTTTCTTTAACAATGCTAAAAAAGGATGTCCTAACCGACAATGCACCTCAGAAGGGGTCGAAATACTGGAACATGCAATGGTGCTGGGCACCTGTGTGTCAAGGATGTGAAGCCCTCCAGATTCATGTCCTTTGCCAATAATCTGCCTCATCGTAAGATCTTGAAACAGGCAATGATCAGGGAGAAATGAGATGCAACATTTAAAAGCAAGAGTGAGTTTACTCATAGAAATTAAATTAAAAGCAAATTGTGTTAGACTCAATATAGAGGATAAGGAAATTAACGGAGTAGGGTTAACAGACCTAGACCCAAGAACACAAGAAGTTGACCCATCAGCTAAAGTAACATAGATGAGGAATTATGTGACTGATATGTTGAAAAAAGACTAGGATTACCTGTCATATGATATGTGGCACCAAAATCAATGACCCATTTGGAGGATGAGGAAATAAGACATGTGTTTGGTTTACCTGACTCAATGAGAGCAGTGATGGAAGTAGATGAGGATTTCAATGATTCTTGATACTGAGAAAACTTGGCAAACTCATCAGCTGAAATCATAACCGTCTTCTCAGAAGTATCAGTAGCGTCAATATGAGTTGACTGAGTTTTCTGGGCCTTATTTTGCAACTTTATACACGTGCGCTTTGTATGACCGGGTTCATGATAGTAGTAGCACAATCCCTCCTAACTCCGATTGTCACGATAATTCGAACCCCCTCCTCTATTATTACTCTTGTTATATGAACGCCCTGTGTCATTATTCTGACTTATAAGAGCATTACTCAACTAAACAAATGGAGTGCTTTCTATACAAAGAACCCTAGTAAATATATCTTGGAGGGAGGTGATCACAGAACTGGCAAGAACTTGAGATTTAGCAGATTCAAACTCAAAAGGGAGTCCAGCTAGGAAACTCATAACCGCCATTTTCTCTCGTTGAGCTTGTTGAACTTTCACATCAGCACTCACCGGTAAAAGGACATTAAGTTTTTCATATATCCTTTTAAAGTCCATAAAATAGGCCGTAAGAGACCTATCTTGTTTCTCAGCTCGATAAAAGGCTTTGCATACATAAAAAATACGAGCCACATTCCCTTTCCCAGAATACAAAAAATCTAGATAGTCCATCAACTCTTTCACATATTCACAATGATTAATTAAACCAAGTACCTCACTATTGATGAAGTTCCGTATCTACAAGAACAATGGGGCATCCTCTCTCAACCATGTTTGCTTTGAATCGTCTTTAGACGGATCTTTTGTGAGATCATCATCTTTACCAATGCTTCGCAGGTAAAGACTAATTGTCTTACTCTAATCAAAATAGTTATTAGACCCATTAAGCTTATGTTCCATAATTTTTGACATTACAGGAACCATATCAATTATAGGCTTATTAGTCATGGTAAGAAGACGAAAAATTGATCTCAACACAAATAGCCAACACAACTTACAGATGAAAATCAACAAACTGACCTCAACACAAATAGCCAACAAAACTCTTCAAAGAACGAAATCTGATACTAACAGAAATCAATAAAACTGATCTAACCTGGCTCAGATACTGAGGAACTGATCACACAGACTTGCCAGAAATAACAAGACGAAGCCGGGAAGGGTGATCAGACACTGTCCTCCATCACACAAGCCCCCACATGCCGACGCGTGAATATTGCCACAAATGAAAAGGTGGCGCGTGAGACTCACGCGCTACTCCTTCGGTGACCAGACTTCAGGGAATGGTCGATCGGCAAGAAGGGCTTTTTTCTAGTCAAGTAGTGAGAAAAAAATGGTCACTGTCCAGGGTGACTCACAAATAATGCTCACTTGGGCAGAAAAAAAAAACGAAATTGAAAAAGAACCTAGAATTGCTCTGATACCATGTTACAAACAGAGAATTGATTGTAATTTTCTTACATTGTATTGACAAATTATACATCAATATATAGGAAAATAAAGAACTAATCTAGGAAACAAATAATCTAATCTTGGAAATGAATAATCTAACTTCCTATTTTATAGATTTGTTCCTAATATATATTGATTACAATCTGAATATCCTATTATAGATTTATACACTTAATCATGCAATATCTGTAAGATTTTGCATGATTATCTACAATAGTATTACTCGACAAACAAATGTGGTAATCAAGTAATATAAGAGAACATTACCTTAGTAATGAAGGATTACCCCAATCAAACACACCGGTTAATATTTCACCTTTTTTTTTTTTTAATATTTACAATATTTTTGGATATACAAAACAAATAGAACGAATAAACTCATTATATTTTCTCATGTCTAATTATGTTTAGCTTGGTTTATCATGTAGTTAAAATAGTTCATTTCTTGAAAGGATGATCTTTTGAAAATAATCATTTAAGGGGTTTCACAAAAACCCATTGTTATGTGTGGTTTTTCCACTAAGCTCGGAGTATCACGAGGTTATAGCTCGATCCAGAACTAGCTCGACTCTTCCGATTGTCCGACTCAGCATAAGCTCGTCGAGTTATAGCTCAACCTAGCACAAGCTAGTCGTGACCAATCCTTACAGTTGCTCAACCAATTCACAGATAACTTCAGATCCCAGCTATCTCTGGAAGGATCAGATCAACAGTAATCTTTAAGCAATCACAGCGCCCAATCGCGAGAATATAGAAGTTGTATTTCAAACTTAATTGTAATCCCTTTATTTTCGCTCTTTCCTTTGTACAAACTTTGTATATAAACTCCCTTTAATGATGAGAAAGGGGTTAGCAAATATTACTAGGATTGTCATTGTAAGCTCTCACAACAAATACAAGAACAGTGGATGTAGGCTCAAGAGTTCATCTCCGCGAACCACTTTAAAATCTCTTTGCCATTTACTTTACTGCATTTGTTTTTCATTCATTGTTGATTACTTGTAATCACGTATACACCAGTTTCGATCCCGCCAAGGTTGATCGGATCACTCTGGTTAGTGTTTTCTTACATCAACATTTTGGCGTTAAAAAGAGGGCCTCTGCCAAATTCTGAAAAATTCTAGCAAGCAGCCATAGTGATTTAATCAATCAAGGTCCAAAATGGTACGTACAAGATCGAAAGCTACCACCGAAAACCATAACAATGTGAAGACCACCCACCAGGAGGTGCAACAAGACGCTGCTGGATATCGACCACTAATGCCACCAACCCAACAAGCTGTGACTAACCAGGGAGCAAGGATGTCAAACCCCAAGAATGATCAACTAGTGGAAATGATCAGAACAATGGTTACACAAGCGGTGCAATAGAACATGGCCGAGTTGAGAAATCAGCAACCAACCACACATAATCTTGACTAGCCACGCTTCACCGATATCAGACCGACAAGTCAGAATTCAGTCGGTGACCAGTTTGGTTCATCGGCACCAAGGGGCGACCGGCACCTTTGGCATCACAGAGTACATTTCGCCCATGAGCATGAGTCCCACAGACAAGATGACCAAGTCTCCTTTCAGTCATTTGAGGAATGCGAATCATGCCTTTTAGGCAAGATGACCAAGTCTCCTTTCACAAGACAAGGTGAAAGGGCTACTGAACTGTTAGACATCATCCATAGTGATGTATGTGGTCTACTAACAGTTGAAGCCAGAGCTGGATATTTATACTTCATTATATTTACTGATGACTTTAGTAGATATGGTTATGTCTACCTTATAAGACATAAAGCTGAAGCCTTTGATAAATTAAAGAATTCAGGAATGAAGTACAGAATATGTTAGGCAAAAGTATTAAAGCTATTCAGTTAGATTGAGGAGGTGAATACTTAAGCTCAAGATTTTCTAAATACAGAAAGGAGTGTGGGATAGTATCACAATTCACCCCTCCGTATACCCCAACACAATGGAGTGTCTAAAAGGAGGAATAGAACCTTACTTGATATGGTTAGGTCCATGATGAGTTTTAGTGATCTACCTGCATCATTATGAGGTTATGCCCTAGAGACTGCGACTCACATTTTGAACCGTGTGCTATCAAAGTCTATAGATAAGACTCCATTTGAATTGTGGAATGGGTGAAAGCCCAACTTGTCTTATCTAAGGGTTTGGGGTTGTGAAGCTTATGTCAAGAAATTGACCTCGAACAAGCTAGGTCCAAAATCCTGTAAATGTATATTTATGAGGTATCCGAAAGAGACCAAAGGATACTATTTCTACCACCCAGAAGAGTGCAAAATTTTTTTCGCTCGTACTAGTGTCTTCTTAGAAAATGATTTTTTTCAAAGAAGTTCTAGTGGGAGAAAAGTACAACTCGATGAAGTTCTAGTACTACAAGATATATTAGATAAAGGACGGCAAGATGTACCACAAGAGGTGGTTGAACATCGCAAGGAGGTTACTCTATAATTTGTGGATCAAAGTGAACCACCTCAGGTAGCACAATAGCTATGTAGATCTGGGAGAGTATGCCGTGATCCCGAGAGAAATGGCTATCTCGTGACTCAACATGGTGACGTACTGGTCTACCAAGACAATGAACCCAAAACCTATGAAGACGTTATATCGGATCTAGATTCCGTTAAATGGCTAAAAGCCATGAAATCTAGTACTACAAGATACATTAGACGAAGGATGGGAAGATGTGCCACAGAAGGTGGTTGAACATCGTAAGGAGGTTACTCCACAATTTGTGGATCAAAGTGAACCACCTCAAGTAGCACAGAAGCTATGTAGATCTGGGAGAGTATGCCGTGATCCCGAGAGATATGCTTATCTCGTGACTCAACATGGTGACATACTGGTCTATCAAGACAATGAACCCAACACCTATGAAGATGTTATATCGGATCTAGATTCCGTTAAATGGCTAAAAGCCATGAAATCAAAGATGGACTCCATGTACCAGAACCAAATGTGGTCTCTGGTGGATCCATCTGAAGGGGTAAAACCCATAGGGTGTAAATGAGTCTTCAAGAAGAAGACTGACATGGATGGCAAGGTGCATACATATAAGGCATGACTGATTGTCGAAGGTTTCAAAAAATTCATGGTATTGACCATGAAGAAACCTTTTCGCCAGTTGCCATGATTAAATCCATATGGATTATGCTTGCAATTGTTGCATATCATGACTATGAGATTCGGCAAATGGATGTCAAAACAGTTTTCCTGAACGAAAACTTTGAAGAGGATGTGTATATGACACAACCCGATGGATTCGTTCTTGATGGGCAAGCTGACAAGGTATGCAAGTTGTAGAGGTCCATTTATGGACTCAAGCAAGCTTCAAGGAGCTAAAACATTCATTTCAATGAAGCCGTAAAAGAATTCGGTTTCATCAAGAATGAAGATGAGCCTTTTGTGTGCAAGAAAGTGAGTGGGACCGTAGTGGCATTCCTAGTGTTGTATGTTGATGACATACTTCTAATCGGGAATGACATACCAAACTTACAGTCAGTAAAGACTTGGTTATCCAAGTGCTTCTCCATGAAGGACTTAGGAGAGGCAGCCTACATGCTCAAAATAAAGATCTATTGTGATAGATCGTGTAGGTTGTTCGGCCTAAGCCAGAGTACATACATGGACAAGGT